TTTGTGCTCATTTGGGGGACTATAAACTCCTACAAGGAGCAAGCCGCCAGCCCAAACCGCTAATGCTTCTCCCCCAGGCTGGGAGATATGCAAACACTCAGTGTGGGGAATCCCTCTCCTAACAAGGATCATGACCCCCCCAGTGGGCCTTTCGTAATCAGCACGGGTATTGGCATCGGGACCTTTGACATGAAAAACCTCATACCCCTGATGCCAAGCGAAACTGGAGAAGGCATCCAGTTCGTTCTGTTTCATGCGCACTTCCTGCACCGCAGCAAGAGAGACGTTGCTGGAACTAACCAGCTTGAAAAAGTCCCATACTTTAGGCGCACCACCGGTATTAGGGGACCAAACAGAAAAACCTCTGACCAACAGACGGACTTTGCTGTGACGGCAAGGGCCGGGATTAGGCTCAATGCCTTGCTGGACAAGGGCTGCGAAAACCATATTTGCATATGCCAAAGAGACTGGGCAAAAATGCACAAACGGACGTGGAAGAAGGGGAAGGAATCGTGAGAGGAACGATTCCCCCCCTAATTTTTCAGGACTTTCCCCGAGGAGGCAGGTGACCAAGCCACTCATTGGCTTCAGCTATGCTTACACCCCACGGCTTGCAGAGAACGCGCTTTTGAGAGGGCGTCTTAACGCTCCATGATCGCACACGACCATTGCCAGCATGCGTGCTGTCATAATCACACTTGACCTTCCATACGCTTGGTTGCCCGTACGGAGTGGTCCTCCAACATTTAGTACAAGTAGTGTACTTGAAAACCTTACACTTTTTGTCCCCAACCGGCCAACTACCGGGTTTAGGGGTAAAATGGACAAGGTCGTGCCCATACTTGTCAACGTCATTGTGGGGAGAGGCAAAGAGTGAATCGGCATCCTGCGTACTAAGACCCCAAAGGTCAAGCAACCGGGACCGATTCTCCTCACTGAGTTTTAGCCAGAAAGTGCGTTGAGCTCCATTCATGCCTTCTCTGGAGCCTCGGCATGCTGAAGACCATGTGTTGCAATCAACCCTAAGGCATTTAACATAGGTGAAGTAATCACGATTTTTGCTACTCTCAGGGTGATTCCATGTATTCCAATCCGGAAGGAATTGCAACAGTGAATGTCCATTGGGGGACATGTCGTTGGTGGCTAACTTTTTAGTCCTAACAGTGATGGCAAGCTGCAGCTTACTCTTTTGCAAGGAGATCTGTTTAGGAGATTTCCACTGCTTCCAACGCTTGTGATACAACTCGGCACATGTCACTTTAGGGTGGCAGGCTTTGCGATGCTTCTCAATAGCCTGATCCCTGGCCCATCTAGAGCTAGTTGATCCTAGCCCCACCTTACAGCGGGGCATGGGGCACGACATTCGCGCTGATCCATTGGGATGTCCGCAGACACCTCGGGAATGACCACGCGCTTGCGGATTTGGGTGTGTGGACCAAAAGAAAGTTTATCATCTTTATGGCGTTGCTGTATATGACAATTAACTTGGCTGTGACTGCTTCTTCACTAGGCCCGGTGGCAGTGAAGACAGTTTTGCACACGGGACAAGGCCAGTTTCTCGTTACCTCCTTTGGCCCTTTGCTGGAGGAAGACGCACAAGGTTTAGGGGATTGCTTACGAGCATTGTTTGAGCGGCAAGAACCCTTGGGGGTAGGTTTGTGGGAAGGCGGGGGCTTAATCCAGGAGCCTACTGAACTGGCATCCTCACGCACGGGTGGGTTGCAGTTAGGGGTGGTCCTAGGATGCTTCGACTTCAAACTTTTGACTGGCGAAGTTTTGATCCAAGAGGAAACCGAATTACCGCCATTGATAATCTTAGACGAAACACTGGGAGATTTAGGGGATTTTAGCCAACTGGAGCACGAGCTTTTGGCTTTTCCAGACCCTCGGTATACAGACACCGCTTTTTCAAGCTGCTGAGAGAGGGGCTCCTCCTCATACACGTTAACAGGGAAGACGGAGTCAGGTTCGACTCTTGTGAAATGCCCATCCTTTAAGCAAAGTACTATGGGAACGGCTTTGGACTTCTGATTTGGATGGCACACGTCAAGGTAAACCCATTCAGCTGAGCTGCCCGGATTTCTGCTACACCATTTGAAAACGTGAATTTCAGTTTTAAGAATGACAGCGGCAGCTTGAATCATCCAGCTGTCAGTCCATTTGTGAGGACGCTTAACAGTTTCGATGTATTCTTGCCGTGTGGTAGCTGGGTTACCGGCCTCAGTATCCACAGTGGCACCAGCATCAGCAAACCAAGTTTGCTGAAATTCCTTGTCCTCAGCAAGAAATCTCGCGATTTTTGTCCTAAGGGAAAGTGACAGGGCGGACGCCTTTTCATCAATCTGATCCTTAGTTTTACCATTGCGCAGTGCTTGGTAACCAGCAATCATTCGAAGACCACACTGGCCTTCCCCCCCTAGATCCCATGTTTTAACCCCTGCAGGGCCTGCATCAGCAGGGGCGTCTTCACGGGCCTTTTTAGGGGGAGGCTTAACGGGAGAGGACCTAAGATCTCCAGGGCACTACCGATGGGAGGGCTTTTGGCCTTTTTAGTCGGCGACTCCTGTTTACGCTTGTGGTTGGAAGCATCAGCTTCCTGCGACGAGTCAAGTGCAGTGGCAGGCACCTGACTGTGCTCCTCTTCGCTATCACGGGGTTTCATTTCGGCATCTGGCTCAGGTGTTTTTGAGCAGTCAAACCAGCGTTGTGGAAAGGACAAACGCTCTTCCTGAAATGACCTTGGGGCTTTTTTCCATAAGGAAATAATCATGTCAACAGTGCCTATCGTGTAGATAAGCTTATCTTGCAACCTATACTGCTGAGGCGGGATGGCAAGCACAGTCCACCTCCCAGATTTGTACTTGGGAGGCTGAAGCTGGTCTACTTCCCTACTTCCCCCCATCCCTGTTTTTCAAGAAACTGCTTGACAGTGTCAGGTCCCCAATGCTTGGGGACTGACTGCATGCTCCAGCGACGTGGTCCATCCACACTAGGAGCCACACCACGCAAGCCGAGGCTACTACCACCTCCAGTCCTGAAGGCGAGACACGTTTTTGATTCATTGGCTTTGGAAAGGGCTTCTTTCAAGTATTCTCTGGGATCTAAATCCTTTTTTGAGGGCTTGATCCAAGACACGGGTGGCTCTTTTTGCAACGCGGGAGAGATCTGATTAAAGAACAAACCCCAAGAACCACTAACATCGAGGAGTGACTTGACGTGATCTTGGGGAATCTTGAGATATCCCACAAGGAGACTGTCGTGTTTGTCCTCTTTGACCTTCCAAGCATAGGAACTGGCATAGGCCCCAACAGGAAGAAATTGAGCCAAAATTTTGGGATTGTGATACGCACTGTAACCTGCTCCGGAGCATTGACAATGCTATCATCACCAACCTTGACCTGTGCGGGTCTAGACGGCCACACAGGCAATCCGCTAGAGGTAAGCGGAACAACAGTACTCTTGATCCAGCCTTTGCCAACAACCTGTACCCATCTGTGTGTGGGACACAGGCTGTCATCAAGGTCCTCCTTGCAATGAACAGGCAAGATCAACGCACACTTAGCCGTGAGGTTATGGGTCTTGGCCAACATAACCAACTCAGCCGCTTTGAGCGCAGTAGCCAAGCAAAACTTGCCATTTGGCTCGGTTCCTTCATTGATTGAATTTTGGAGATCTTTCAGCGTGATCTCTTGGCTAGCACACCACTTTGAACACAGTTTGCCCGCTATCACCGGTACAGGACGCTTAGGGGCAACCTTGGCTTTTGGTCCTTTGGCAGGGGGATTAGGTGGCGCAGATTGAGAGGGGCTCTCAACCAAAACTCTACGCACACGGGATGGTTCAGCAACGGCTTGCTTGTTGTTGGGCTTTTCAACAGTCTCATCAAACGAGACTCGCCTGCTGTGACTGTTGCTTTCATGGCTCGGCTCCTGTTCAAACCAAATGACAAGAGCTTTCAGTTTCTGAATTAAGCCACTCGTACCATTAACCTGCGCTTGGCGGACAATGTGTTGGAGTGACGCAAAAAGCTGTTCCTCAGGATCAGGAGATTCTGCTTCAGACTCGCTGTCTGCTTCCTCCTCGACAGATTTAAGCAGTTTTTGTAAACCATCAAAAATGATTTGCTCTTTCTGCTTTCTAGTGTAAGGCTCTTTACCTCCACCTCTGTAAACGAAACTCTTGTAAGTCTTGCTTTTGAATCAGAAGACTGTTCTTGCTTCTGCCTCGCAGTCATGTTGATGTGGTTACGCAAAGCACGGAGCATCACATCAACCCAAAACCTACGGGCAGCCTTAACTCTTCTGTTTCCAACGAAACGGGCACGGCAGATCTGGACGTCAGGGCTCTGCCTTTGCATGCAAGCATTTTTAGTGCCATATGAACTCCACAGCGCGAGTTCCATGCCAAAATCATTGTCTTGGCAAGCCATGCAATCAATTGCAACACTGTAGCCTTGAAATTCCGATGCTTCGATTGGAAAGCTACTGAATGCAAAAGAGTAGGGTCAAAATCGGTTTTTCGTATGGTGGGGACTTGCATTGTAAAATCAGGAAAATGTACATCGCCACTAGGTACAACAGTCCCATTCACAAGGAAGTCACCTTCACAACCAGCATATATCACGGGTACTGAGTCATTGACAGCTGATGCCGTGTGTGTAGCAACTGCCCGGCACAACAAAATTGTGATTGTAATGGCGATCAACAGAAGCCTACTTTTTGCAGCCCTTACCACGCCTACACCCACTAAAACACCCCTACAAGCGGCAGGCGAGTGCAGTTTGCGTGGCGGCCCCCGCCGCGACCACGTGGCGGTAGATGGCGAATCGCGGCTCACGACATTAGTAGTACTAGTAGTAGTAGTAGTAGTAGTAATAGTAGTGGTAG